TGTTAATTTAGGTTTCAATTAGAATTAAAAAAATTCCAAAAACTTACCTCAGTGACCATTTTTCAAAGTGACTGAAAGTTGAGTGACCATTTATGCAGGTTTCGAACTTCAGTAACCATTTTGTTATTTTACTGTAACTTCAGTGACAATTTATGAAATTAACCCTTTTCTTACAAAATTCATCTTTCGTTTCTGTTTCGAAGTCATTGCTTTGACGGACACAACAAATTAAAGGACAAATGCAAATATTCTAGTCTAGGGTTTATAAGATGCAGAAAATTACTTTGATCTAAATTGAAAATTTCACGACTGAGTAGCTACAATAAAATCAATTTAATGATTCTCATGTGACTACAGATTGAATGAGAAAATATGACGACACTTCGAAGGAAATAAGCAAATTTTATTGGCAGTGACAGTAGGGTTAGCCATAGCGACGGGTTTTTCTCATTTTAGATTAGAACTGCGGGATTAACTAAATTGGACCAAACCGAAATAAACCCATTGGACCGTTGGTTTTGATTATGCAATTTTTCAAAAATTTCGCTCACCCCAAAAGGAAAAAAAAAAAGGGAATCGGGCTAAAGAAAAAGTAAAAATTAAAAATTAGTTGTAAATTGCAATAGTAAGTTTATACTTATTTTGCATTTCTATCCTCAATTTTTATTTGGTACGACATCACCATTTTTTTTTATAAATTAGTAGTCATTGTTCAATAACCTTTTTTTTTTTTTTGACGTTAACTAGATATAGAAAAATTTAAAAAAAAAATTGTTCAAAATCTAAGGGTCCGTTTGATTGCAAAGTTGGAAAATGGGTGGAAAGAAAATGAATTTCAGGGAATTGAATTGTCTAGAAATTATTTTACTGATAATTGTAATTAATTGTGTTTGATTTGTATAATTTTTCACATGGAAAATGTTGAAAGCTTGGTGTTTGTTTGATTTTGTTTTTATGAAAATTGTCCATTAAAATGATACTTTTTTCTGCCATTGGGTCTATAATTTGTTCAAATTGCCAAAAAATTAAAAAAATTTACAATTTTTTTTTTACTATACCGAATATCATTTGTTTAGCTTTGTTTGGCATGAAAATTGTCAATAAAAGTAATAAATTTTTTTATCATTGTATTTAGAACTTTTTCTAATTGCCAAAAAAAAAAACTGAAAATGATTTCAAGAAAATGTGAGTGTGTGAGGAAAAGAGGGAAAAACATTTGTCTAGAAAAAACCTATAAAATAAAGGAAAAGTGAGAATGGAAAACAAATTCCATTTTCCGTGGAATTGGCTCCCTATCAAACACACCATAAACGCACAATTAAAAAAAAAAAAAAAAATCAAAAGATAAAAATATTAAAGGCAGAAATGAGAAGGAACTAACGACATTCATCGATCGATAACCGCAGCTTATCTTTAAGTAATAGTCATTGAACTAGGATTAGTTAAACTTGGTAATTCAATCATATAGCTTTTCAAACAATATCTTGTGTGTGTTTATATACACATATCTGCCTCTGTTTGAGTCACATTAAAATTTTCATTCTCATTTTTTTATTCATTTTCAACCACATATTTTTCAATAAAATAATATTTTCTATGACATTAATAATTATTCCTTCTTTTTCAATCATACATTCTCCATCAATTTACTATTTCAAAATATATTTTTCCAAAATAATGTGGCTCAAACACACCCCATATATCGTTCTTATAGAGATAAACGTGTTTTCACATCTGCCCGTGACTTCAGGGTATTCTGTTTCGGTAATGAAATTGATGCAAGGTT